GTGTGTGTGTGGGATGTGTGTGTGTGTGGACTGTGTGTGGACTGGGTGTGTGTGGACTGTATGTGGACTGAGTGTGTGTGGACTGTGTGTGGACTGTGTGTGGGTTTGTGTATGTGGACTGGGTGTGTGTGAACTGGGTGTGTGTAGACTGTGTGTGGACTGTGTGTGTGTGGACTGTGTGTAGACGGGGTGTGTGTGAACTGTGTGTGGACTGTGTGCACTGGGTGTATGTGGAGCGAGTGGGTGTGGACTGAGTGTGTGTGGACTGGGTGTGTGGACTGTGGGCTGAGTGTGTGGATTGTGTGTGGACTAAGTGTGTGGACTGTGAGTGGACTGGGTGTGTGTGGACTGAGTATGTGGACTGGGTGTGGACTCTGTGTGTGTGGACTGTGTGGACTGTGTGTCGACTACATGTGGACTGGGTGCGTGTGGACTGTGTGTGGACTGGGTGTGTGTGAACTGGGTTGTGGACTGTGTGTGGACTGGGTATGTGTGGACTGGGTGTATGGACTGTGTGTGGACAGGGTGTGTGTGGACTGGGTGTGTGTGGACTGGGTGTGTGGGCTGAGTGTGTGAGAACTAAGTGTGTGAACTGTGTGGACTGGGTGTGTGTGGACTGGTTGTGTGGACTGTGTGTGGCCTGGGTGTGTGTGGACTGTGTGTGGAATGTGTGTGAACTGCGTGTGTGGACTGGGTGTGTGGACTCTACAGACTGTATGTGTGTGGACTGTGTGTGTGTGGACTGTGTGCATGTGGACTGTGTGTGGACTGGGTGTATGTGGACTTGGTGTGTGTGGACTGGGTGTGTGTGGACTGAGTGTGTGTGGACTGTGTGTGGACTGGGTATGTGTGGACTGGGTGTGTGGACTGTGTGTGGACTGAATGTGTGTGGACTGTGTGTGGACTGAGTGTGTGTGGACTGTGTGAGTTTGGACTGTGTTTGTGGACTGAGTGTGTGTGGACTGGGTGTGTGGACTGGGTGTGGACTGGGTGTGTGTGGACTGGATGAGTGGACTGGGTGTGTGTGGACTGAGTGTGGGCTGGGTGTGTGGACTGTGGACTGAGTGTGTGGACTGTATGTGGACTGAGTGTGTGGATTGGGTGTGTGGACTGTGTGTGGACTGGGTGTGGACCGGGTGTGGACTGGGTGTGAGTGGACTGGGTGTGGACTGGGTGTGTGTGGACTGAGTGTGGGCTGGGTATGTGGACTGAGTGTGTGGACTGTGTGTGGACTGTGTGGACTGGGTGTGTGGACTGTGTGTGGACTGGGTGTGTGTGGACTGGGTGTGTGGACTGAGTGTGGCCTGAGTGTGTGTGGACTGTGTGAACTGTGTTTGTGGACTGAGTGTGTGTGGACTGTGTGTGGACTGGGTGTGTGTGGACTGAGTGTGTGGACTGACTGTGTGTGGACTGGGTGTGTGGACTGTATGTGTTTGGACTGTGTGGACTGTGTGTGGACTGGGTGTGTGTGGACTGAGTGTGTGGACTGTGCGTGGACTGCATGTGTGTGGACTGTATGTGTGGACTGGGTGTGTGTGAACTGTGTGAGGACTGAGGACTGGGTGTGTGGACTGGGTGTGTGTGGACCAAGTGTGTGGACTGTGTGTGGACTGGATGTGTATGCATGTGCATGTGCATGTATGTATATGCACGTGCGCCTGTTCAACCTCACTGGATGTGTGGCTCCCCTGCAGCCCTGGCACTCAAACTGTGCTCTCATCTCCTGCCTCCCCTCTCTGCCCATGCCCTCCCCTCTCCACTTGCCCTCGTCTCACCTTCTGGGATGATCCGTGATTCCTGCTCTTCAACGTCCCCCAGCCCCTGTGGTCGGCTGTGATTCACAGTGCCCACCTCACTCAAGAGGACAGCTTCAACCTCAGAGCACACAGAGGTTCCAGAGGCCTTCAGAACAAGCCTCCTGCCTTTACAGACTTTTTTTTTTTAATGAGACAAAGTCTCACTCTATTGCCCAAGCTGGAATGCACTGGCGTGAGCTCTGCTCACTGCAACCTACGCCTCCCGGGTTCAAGTGATTCTCCTGCCTCAGTCTCCCAAGTAGCTGGGATTACAGGCTCGTGCCACCCTGCCCGGCTGATTTTTGTATTTTTAATAGAGACAGGAATTCACCATGTTGCTCAGGCTGGTCTCGAACTCCTGACCTCAGGTGATCCACCCACCTTGGCCTCCCAAAGTGCTGGGATTACAGGCAAGAGCCACTGCGCCCAGCTACAGACTCTTGACTACAGGCTTGACACACCTCAGGGCAGCACCGCCCTACCCTCAAGCCAAGATGCTCCAAGTGTCTCTGCTGCAGGGCACGGCCACATTTCCAAACACGGGCGGAGCCCATGGAGCACCTCCTCACTGACGTCATGGCAGAGGGGACAGCCCGTGCAGGGGACCAGGATTCTCTCCATACAAAGAGAAGACACAAATGTCAACTGCACAACTGCAAGACAGGGCACTGACTCCAGCACAGCACTCACTCAGCAAGCGTCTCCTGAGCCTCCACTCAGTGCCAAGGCTCGGTGCGGGCAGGTGGGGAAGGGCAGTGGGCTCCGTGCTGGATCTGGCAGCCTTTGAGAAGCTGCAGGCCATTTAAGGGATTACTGATCAGCATAAATGATTATACCATGGGTGCCGAGACTCTGTGCTAATACAGTACAAAGACGGCAAGGAGGAAGGTTCCCTTCCGTGCAGGCCGCAGAGGGCTTGGAGGAGAGAAGGCTCCTCCTGAGATGGGTGAACTCAGACAGCAGAGGTGTGGGAGAGGCCAACCAGGCACAGGGAACGGCACCAGCAATGACAGCCTGCTGGGCTTGGAAGGAGAGCCAGAGGTGCAGATGGAAAGCCGGACAGGAAGAGTCTGCTACAGATTCGCCAACAGCCTGAGAGTGTAAATTCTCCTGCGGGAACCTTGAGTCCCAGAAGGTCTTTGAATAGGTGAGTAGCATCACCTGATCTGTGTGTTTGAAAATAAAGCTGTAAACTGTGGGGAGAATGGAGCAGACAGAACACGAGGAGGCTGCTGGTCCAGGTGAGAAGGCACTGGGAAGGAGAGGTACACCAAGGAGGGGCGGAGGAAGCAAGGCAGGGGACACACTGAAAACAGGCTCATGGCTGGTCACGTGCAGAAAGGAAGGGCAAGGAGCTTGAGGTGACCAGTCTCATCTCCAGTCCCCTCTCCATCTCCATTCCCATCTCCAGCTCCAGCTCCATCTCCATCTCCATCTCCAACTCCATCTCCATCTCCATCTCCATCTCCAACTCCAGTCCCCGTCTGCAACTCCATCTCCATCTCCATTCCCATCTCCATCTCCAATTCCATTCCTCTCTCCATCTCCATTCCCATTTCCATCTCTATCTCCATCTACAACTCCATCTCCATCTACAACTCTAATCCCCTCTTCATCTCCATCTCCATCTCCATCCCCATCTCCATCCCCATCCCCATCTCCGACTCCATCTCCATCTCCAACTCCAGTCCCCTCTTCATCTCCATCTCCATCTCCAGGCGCCTCTTCAACTCCATCTCCATCTCCAACTCCAGTCCCCTCTCCATCTCCATTCCCATCTCCATCTCCATCTCCATCTCTAACTACAACTCCAACTCCATCTCCATCTCCAACTCCAGTCCCCTCTCCATCTCCATCTCCATCTCCATCTCCATCTCCAACTCCAGTCCCCTCTTCCTCTCCATCTCCAACTCCAGTCCCCTCTCCATCTCCATCTCCACCTCCATCTGCAGTCCCCTCTCCTTCTCCATCTCTAACTCCAGTCCCCTCTCCATCTCCATCTCCAGTCCCCTCTCCATCTTCATCTCCATCTCCATCTCCAGTCCCCTCTCCATCTTCATCTCCATCTCCAGTCCCCTCTCCATCTCCATCTCCTCCATCTCCAACTCCAGTCCCCTCTCCATCTCCATCTCCACCTCCATCTCCAGTCCCCTCTCCATCTCCATCTCCAGTCCCCTCTCCATCTCGATTCCCGTCTCCATCTCCAGCTCCATCTTCAACTCCATCTCCATCTCCAGTCCCCTCTCCATCTCCATTCCCATCTCCATCTCCAGTACCATCTCTTGACTGCCCCAGCTCACCCAGCAGCACAAGCGTGTGGGCTCCTCCCAGGTGGGGCAGAAACACAGTCACCCCTGAAAGAGCAGGAGCACCCACCCAGGTGTGCACACAGAGTCGGCCTTGGCCATAGAGCAGAGCGAAACAGAATGAAATAGAAAATCCTGCCAGGAAATGCCTTTAGTGTTAATTCTGACCAATAACACAGTGAGTTCTTTAATAAACGCTTTGAAAAATCTCACGCTTTGAGTGTCACATCAGCACCTTACCTCCTGACATGAACCTGGCGTGGGGAACAGTGCATGCATTTTTTAAAGAACGGCAGCATTATACTCTGGTTTCTCCTCAGATCGTATACATCTTTTGCCTTTGACTAAAGAACGGCAGCACATGGGTATCCCCAATGTCTCTATCAGTCCTACTCACTGGCAAAAAACAAATGACATGTGGAGAGGAGAGCGGTTATGAAGCATCAGGACCAATGGCTTATCATGCAATGCCTGAAGCGTAAAAATGGTTTTTCCCAAGCTCTGAAGCATGTTTCTCTCTAACAGAACACAGTGCTGCATCTTGCTGAGGGCTAACACATGGTAACTGCGATGGCCTAGGTACCCTCCTCCTCCAGTAATGACACTTGTTATAAATGAGGAAGATCTGTGATTGCTCCACAGACGTCTAGGAGAGCCACCTCGAGGCCTCTTCCCCAACATGGACACTGCGCAGCCAGCCCAGGCACTATGTGAGGGCTTCCCACTGCAGCTCAGACACGAAGGCCCAAGAAAAGGAGCTCCAAGGAGAGGAAGACTCCAGTTCTGGCCAGCACCCAGGCTTTTGGAGATTCTTTATGCAAGCACACAGACAACCCAACATTCCTCAGCGTGAAACCAGATCAAAGGCGGCGACAAGGGTGAAGGCACCACCACTCACCAATCTGTGCTTGAGGTGGACCGTAATGAGTGGAGAGCCCGATAGGTTCTGAGAGAGGGTGGGCGGCGGGGTCAACTCCAGGGAAATCAGGTGGCTGGTGGCGAACAGCAGGCAGTCCTGGTGATGCATGGCCTCCGCGATCCTTGGGAAGAGATGGAAATCATTACAAAATGGGAAATGCAGGGGAGTAGCACACAGCTAGAATCCGGGCTGGGAGCCAGCGTTCCACCCGAAACTCTTGAGACGGAAATCTTCTTTGGATAGAACTTTGATTTCTATCGTTCAGCTCCAGCTGCTCTCCTTCAAGATGTGAACCTGGTACCTGCAGGTGAGTTCAACTATTCTGTGTTTGGACTCTGCCCTTGAATTGTTGTCTTCAGTACCTGCTCTCTTTAAGGTCTGATACCAGGACCAAGAGGTGAGACAGAGCCCTTGACCTCAAAAAGTTTATAAGAAAAGGGAGATGGCCCAGGAAGTGTGGACGAGCAGAAATGCTCAAAACAACAGGGCATGAATCTCAGCAATTCCACTTAATCAGCTTGTGACCTTGGGCAGGTAACTCACCCTTTCTGAACGTCAATTTCCCTGATTATAAGATGGTGCAGTGGCCATCTGCTGTTTTGCCCACCCAGTATTCATTCATTGCTTTCCTGATCAAAGCACCTGCATTTCCCTCTAGGTGGCCATCCCCTTCCCCGCTCAGAGCACACACAGCCTGGAGTTGACTTTATCTTGGCTCAGAAGGAAGCCCTGGTATCTGGGTCTGGATCAGTCAGAGCACTGCAGCCCTCAGGCCACAGGGACTATTTAGGAATGGCACTCAATCCAGTCAAATCTGAGGAGATGCCACAAGGCGAGGTAGAGGGAGAATGCAGGCTCAAAGACCCTCATTCTCCCTGCCAGACTTCTCCTCATGCCCTGAGGCACGAGGCCCTGGGAGCTGCTTGCAATCATGAGGAGGGAGACTGAGAAGGGAACTGCCGAGAGATGGAACCCAGTGACATCAATGCGACGCTGGATCAAGCTGCTCTTGAAGCCAGTTGCCTGCGGAGCTCTCGGCTTTTGTGATCCAATAAACTTTTTGCCTACAACTGTTTAAGATGGGTTTTCTGTCCCTTGCAACCCAATCTAAAGAAGCCTAACTGATGTCTACAGTGGTTGTCTCGTGGGGTTATGAGCTTGAAAAGATATTCAGGGCCAGGAGGAGGGTAAGGGAAGCCAGGCACCTGGAAGGCAAGATTTAAGAAGGTGCTCACAATGGGCACGACCCCCCCAAAGGTGACTGGCTCCTTTAATTTTGTGCCCTCGGCCCATTTGCCTGATTTGATTCCAGCCCTGCCTGGCACACAGCAGGTCACCAAGTATCTGTTGCACGAATTTGAATTTGGGGTGACTACACAAAGATGCCTGAGACGTGCTGTCACCGGGCCCCCTGCGGTCACCAGCGTCTGCTTCTGTGTGGGCCTCACCTAGGTCCTGTGTGCCTCCCCTGTCTGCCATCCAAAGTGCTGACTGACTGAGGAACCTGCAGGTCCCTGTTTTGATGCCCACTGAACCACCTTTGGGACATCCCACAGGGCCCTGGGAGCTGGGGGCACCATCTTTTTCCTCCCTCAACTTGTTTTTCCTTCTAACTAGATTCAAACACCATGTTCAGTGACCCTGCCTGGGATGGGCAGTGGGGCTCACGGAGCAGCAGCACGCCCTACCTCACCCCCAGCCTCTGCACTGTGTCCTGACACACATCCCTGAAAAAGAGCAGGCCTCCAAGAAGCACGCAGAATTATTCCTGGAATTGTAAATACAAAGTGTTTACAAAGATGGTGCCACAGAGAATGAACACCCTGTCCGTTCCCACAGAAGCTGCTTCCTACAGATCGTCACCAGTTCACACGGTCTGGAGCAAACCAGGGGCATCGATTCTCAGGCCTGTGAGTAACAACAGGCACGACTGCTCCACCTGGCGATTCCTCTCTGTGACCATGTCATTGATCCAAGTCCGAAGTCCAGATAACACACATGGAATAAAACACAAACTTTAAAAAAAAAAAAAAATGAAAAGAAAGCATCACCCTAGGTCCATGTTTCTCAACCATTTTTTTCATTATAGCCCCTCTGAAGAGGCTTTTTAGACTTTTTTTACTAATAAACTTGCCCAGAAAGTGTTAGTCCCACAGAGATACAAGCTGTGTTTATGTACAGAACGTACATAAACATTCCACTCTGCAGAACCGCAGACCCAGGTAATACCTCAGATGTTTCCCCGGAGGAACAACGTTCACCTTCGGAGAACATTCACCACTGGGCATGCGTGGGCTCAGTCCCCGCCGCAGAAAGTGAGGGTGGGCTAGAAGCTGCTGGGACCAAGGCAGAGCCCCGCGGCGCCGAACCTGACTCGCTCAGCAGAATGTTGGCCCTGTCCCACGTGTGACTCCACGGCCCCAAGATGTGCAGTGTGTTCGCTTCGGCCAGGGGCCTGGTTCTCACTCCCTGTGCCCAGTGCCTCCATGCTCACGGCCTTTTCTGCAGAGCTCCATGAACTCAACACGTGTGCAATTCCACCAAACACACTGGGAAAACCACGTTTCTAGCAACACTTAGGGCTGTGCCATTAGCCAGCAGCAGAAAGTCACAGCTGTGGGCTTCGGGCCCTAAACATGCAGCATGATTCGTCCCTCGGCTTTCCCTGCGTGGGCATTTCCTGATGGTGCAACCAGGGGTCGTCATCTCCCTCCCAGAGCAGAAGTTCCCTCGGGGCCCGGACGCTTTCCCATTCGGGTCACTGCTCTCCCCAGCTCCCGGAACCACGCCTGACACAGTGGGTGCTCAGCACACATGTGAGTGAGGGAGGGAGTGAGTGAGTGGGTGAATCTACGCACAGGCAGGGAGCGATGACCTAGATCAATTTCTTGGGAAAAACATAAGGAAAACATTAAGTGAGAACCTTCTATGAACACAAATGATATGAAAGCAAATCTGGAGCGGTTTCCTGGATTCCGCTCTGAGAACACGCGGCCTCCGCCTCCACCAGGCCCAGTTTGGTAATCAGTGCGACGCCAGACATCGGCCAAGTCAAGATGAGAATGGAGCCAGACGCCTCCTTAGGAGCATTTTCCTCTGGTAAAGGTGGGGGCAGGGGTGAGGTGGGGCAGGGTGGGGCAGGGCGGTGCTGGCTCTTCCTCTGCCCCTCATACCCTGTCTCCACCGGCCCCATCCTATGCCCATCAGCCAGGCTCTGGGCTCTCTGCCTTCATGTGCTCAGCAAAAAGGAAGCCCCAGAAGGAGGTCAGAGGGCGTCAGAGTGAACAGTGGGGCCAGGAGTCTCACTTCCCCCAGCCCACCAGGGCACAGTTACTGCCCGGGGACCCCTCCATCTCTGCCCGGGCATGGTGCTCTCCCCTGCCTGGCTGGCCCTGGGGGAAGCAGTGCGCCCCCATTCTTGCTCCTGGCCCGTGACCGTGCTGTCCCCCAGAGCTCTCCACTCCTGATCGTACCTCTGCAAATCCTCCTTCCTTCAATGTGCCCCAAGTTACCAGCTGGCCCCACGGAGCCCCACTGACAGTCAGGCTCTGTGGCCTTCACCCCGTGCAGCACATCTGAGCCAAAGCCACAAGGCTGCTCCACCTTCAGTTACACAAAGCGGGGACTTAAAGTTATGGGAGGCTTCAGAGGAGCACTGAAATCTATGAGGAGCCACAGAGCCTTCCCAGCATGTGCAGGAGACTGGCTCGGGAACTCAACCCAAAGAAGTCAGAACAAGTGGAGTAAGAAAAAGGGCTGTTACTAGGTTATTTGGAGAATTATCAAGTCCCCACAGTTACCATGTCACATCGGGGAGTGAACAAACATCACAAATGAACATATTCCAGCGTAAAGGAACTACTTGATAACATGTGATTGTGTGTGCTCGAGGAGTCCCCTCACCCATCCATCACACGCTGCTTCTCACCCTCCCTCGGCACGAGAATTCCACGCCACCCTGGGAACACAGTGTGAAGGAAACTCCAAATCTTGCGAACAAGGCGGCACATGGCGGCATCTGTGAGTGTGATCTTGGGTGACGGTGAACTATTGAAGGAGACCTGAGCTCCTGACTGACGCAAACGGCAGAAGGAGAGAGCACCGAGGGTAACAGGCGACTTCCTCAGCGCCGATGCTGCCCGGGTGACGACATTCTCTGTTCTGAGCAGTACTGCAGCCAGGGCCTTTCAGAAAGGACTGCAACAGCCACGATTCCTGCCCATGCCAGGAACCACACAGCTATGGACTGTTAAATAGCCAGACCTGCAGGAAATTTGCCAGAAAACAGTGCAACGAATATGCTTCACCTACACTCTCAGCTCTTATCATCTGCCATGTTCACTTTATCCGGCACGGTCACGCTCACACTTGACACACACACACCACACACAGGCAGGCATACACACATACCACACATGTACACACACACTCACATGTACACACATACAACACACAAATGCATACACGCGCATTTGCATGCCCACAGCACACACAACACACATGCACATATGTGCACACATAACGCACATACACCACACAAGCACATACATCTGTGTGCACACACACACCACACAAATACATGCACACATGCACGTTTCCTTTCTGCTGAAGCACTAGCGGTCTGTTGCAGGCATCACAACATACTCCATCTCTACCACGTGTCTCCTAAAAATGGAGACTGCCTCCTACATAACCATCATACAATGATCACACTCAGAACTTTAACGAGGACCCCACAAGATACTCTAATGCACAGCCCAGAGTCAACTGCACACACCCCACACCATCACTCACGTCCTCCAGAACTCCACTTCTCTCAACCCAGGAACGTGCATTAGCTCAGGCTCAAACCTCTTTCGTCTCCCCCAACCTGGAACTGCCCAACTTCTCCCTTGCAATCCAAACCACAGCAGCACACAACATCCCTCAGTTCAGGTGTGTCTACCTGCTTCCTCGTGAGGGGCGTCAGGCCATGCATGACAGGAGTATGCCATAGGAGGCACGGATGTCTCCCTATGACGTGACAGCAAGAGACACGGGCCCACAACGTGTCCCACATCGATAATGTTGAGTGTGGCCACCTGGCTGCAGGGGTGCGGCAGACATCCCCATTACCAGGCAGCCTCCTACCTGGTGACAGCAAGGACTCTGCAGGTCCGTGAGGTCCTGTCCCCGCAACTCTGCTCCCGCTGGCGTGCACATCCACTGATGGCTTCTGCCTGGGTCAGTTACTGCACTGAGGGCTGCAGAACTGTGACCTACCGGTTCCATCCATGCTCTGTGTTACTCTATAGTGACTAAGGACACACACTGAGCCAGGTCCGCCCCCCACTCATCTTTCTCGAGCACCTATGAGTCTCTCACAGCCTGGGGAGAGGCCCTTCCCTCTGTGGGCTGTGGCTTCCATCTTCACAGGAGGAGTGGGAGCAGGCCAGTCTCAGCCCCATCCACCTGGAGGAACCGGCCGTCCGGGTGCTGGCCAGGCCCAGCCACAGCACCATGAAAGCGGAACAGTCTCCATCATTACGGGGCCAGGCAGCGAGTGAGACTCAAAGGAGCCTAGGGGCACAGACTCAAAGGAGCCTAGGGGGCTTAGCCTGGCAGGAAGCAGCTAAGGCCCCACCTGGCCGTGGGTAGTCAGATGTCGTCCCCGCAGTCATCACACGAGCCCTGGAATGGTCTGCCTGGGGGCTGGCTGTGGAGACAGAAGTTCCTTCCGGCCTAGGCCCCACCTTTTGTGCACTGAGACTCACACACTGACTTAGACCCTCACCCTCGTCCCTGGAGAGGAAATTAAAGGACACTACGGCACCAAAGCATCCTTTCATCCTCACGACACACTGCGGACGTATGAGGATGACAGCGCACAATAAAAGGCAAAGACGGAGGGAAGTCCACTGCAGGCTGGCAGAAACCCGGCATACGCCCGCACATACACACACTGCCCGCATGCTGGCTGCACTAACCTGCTTCTCATCGTGCCTAGGATTTGATAATTACCTCAAAGGCAAAATGGTGCAAATGCCCAATCAGCTTACAAAATCGCAAAAGCAGGCACTTGTATGTCATGTTTAAGAATACCAAGCCCTACTTACACCATTAACTCATTCAGTCCTCCTGGCAACCCTCAGAAATCAGTGATATTATTACTCCTGTTTTAAGAGGAGAACACAGGCCTCCAGGCTCAAGTTACTTGCCTAGGGTCACACAGCTAAGGAGGCCACCTGCGGGAGGGAGAGGCAGGAGTCTGGGTCCGAGTCTATTCTGTGAACCAAACTCTTCGTCCCCTCCACTTCCGTCCACCTTTTCTGCCACCGGATAGATTGTAACAAGTACAGAGACTTTACTGGAGGAGCCGCCTGGATGATTTTTTTCCAGGTTAATTTTGATGACAAGGCATCTTTGCACTAAGTGCTGAAGAGAACTCCACCTGAGCTGAAGATCCAACTTGACTGCAAATGAAAAACATGTTCCATCGCTGCACGGCAATTCTGTTTTGGCTTCAGCACACAAATGTGCTGCTGATGGAACTTGTGGGGCTGGTGTCAGTGCTGACGAACCAGGGATGACTTTGCCTGTCTGATTTCCAGGCCCTCGGCTTGCAGGGGGAAGTCAGAGTTAGCTGCATTGTTCTGGGACACAGTGGCCTGAATCCTGGTGCTCCAGTGTCCTCTCTGCAGACACCTGGGGCCATGAGGACAGCAGAGGGAGTGAAGGCTGAGGCCCTGGGGACAGGCAAGACAGACTGTCTTCCATCCTCAAGGCTGTGGGCTCCCAGAACAGGCCCCCTAGCCTCTCCTCTGCCCGTCCCTGCCAGCGCTGAGGGCTCCCAGAACAGGCCCCCCAGCCTCTCCTCTGCCCGTCCCTGCCAGCGCTGATCTAATGGAAGGTCTGGCAAAGGTCTGCAAACTGCAGCTCTTGGGCTGGCTGCCTGGTTTTGTAAATAAAGCTGTATTGGAAGACAGCCACTCCCCCGTTCCCCCACGTAGTTTCTGGCTGCCTTCACCCTGCGAGGGCAGAGTTCTGGAAAGCCAAGGCAATTTACAAGCTGGCCCCTCATGAAAGAGCTGGCTGACACCTGGCTGGAGTCAGATTCTGGTGCTCACAGCGAATTGCCCCCGAAATGTGTGCACCCTGCGTCTGGAAGCAATCCTCCCGCCTTTGTGAAGTTGTGGGCCGTGGCACGATGCCACTCTCCTCTCCCACGCGGGTCCTCACTGTGGCCGCACAAGGCACAGCAACGCCTCACAAATGCGTGTCTCATACATTTCACGGCAAGGCCAGTTTCACGGTGGAAACTTCAGCAGCAGAGCCCAAGCAAGGGTCAACTTTTCATTCACTGTCTTGGAAAGATTTCCCAAACAACTGAGATGGCATCTTTTTGAGGAAATTAGATTGTATTTTTCTTTGACCATTTTCCTGAAGAATTTTGGAAATCACACATAAAGAGTGGCGGGTCCCCCACTTTCTTTCGTTGGAGGAAACTGGTGAGCATGCAGGCTTTCCCAGAGAAATCCGACCCAGAAGACGGTGTACCTCCAGATCACAAAATTACGACTCCACTCCTCAGGAAAGAGGCACACCCTCCCCTCCCTCCTCATTTCCCTCGTCCTCCCCACCCTCCCTGTCTCCCTGGCGGTCCCCACCCTCCTTGCTCTCCTTCTGGGTTCTCAGGACCCAAACCTACTTGAACCGATGCTGCAGGAGCGAGCTCTGCTCCTATGGAGGGGGCCTGTCTGGAGGACAGCAGAGGCAGGGGATAGACAGAGCAGGTCTAGACGGCATCCTTGGGGTCCCTGGGTCCAGCCATGCCTGAAGCCCACCTGCTCCTCCCTTCTCAGTCCCCGAGCCCTCAGTTTCCTGGCCTTCCACTTAAACTGGTGTGAGATGGTTTTGTCCATCTACATGTTTGCCCATGACTGACACGGGCAGGTCTGTTGTCTTCCATTCCACAGCAGTGGAAACTGAGGCTCAGAGAGGTTAAGTCCCTTGCCCAAGGTCACACCATTTGGTCGAGGCGGGTGGGTAGGGTCTGCTAGCCTGTGCTTCTGATCTCCACTCCGCCAGCCCAGGCCCAGGCCTGCAGTTTCCTAGCCTGTGCTCCTGCCCTCCACTCGGCCAGCCCAGGCCCCAGGCCTGCAGTTCCTGTGTGGCCTTCAAAACGCTGCACGTTTCCTTGCCTGAGTGGTGAAGCGCCCGGCAGTCGTGTCCTGAGTTCTCAAGCAGTGTTGTGCATGGGTGTGACCGTGTGTGAGGCGGGCATCCCTGTGGCCAGGCACCCCGCAAACCCACACACACCCACGCCCCTGAGCTGGGCACCCCCGAAACTCACTTGGTGTGGGCGGGCCAGATGTTGTTCAGGTAGTAGTGCATGCTGTGGTACAGCAGACCCACGACGGTGGTCCAGGCTGCAGAGAGAGCAGAAGGGCAGGCGCCGTCAGTGTTCCAGGCCACGGGCAGAAACACACAAAGCCCCTCACCCCGCTGTGCGTGGTGCCGCCCCTCACTCCCAAGAACCCTCTGGGGAGAAGGAAGTGAAGGACACTGGGGCAGAATTTGTAAGGACAAAGACTGCGGCAACTCAGCAGCGTGACAGCGGCTCCCTGCTCCATCCCCTGAGCCAGCTCCAGACACACGGAGGCTGAAACTCCCCAGGAGAGCCAGGCTCACCCAGGGCATCACATGGATCTCAGAGCCCCTGCAGGGAGAAGGCCCCTGTGAGCCAACGGGGGGCAGTGCCAGCCTCCAGCCTTGCCCCACAAGTGTGTACCGTCTGCCCTTGGCACGCGAAGGATTTAGGGGACCACTGAGTGAGGCAGAATGCAGGTTTTCAAGGGGCAGCAGCCACAGGGACACCTGTATGCCTTCGCCTGGCCACCCCTCTATTATATCCAGCCACGAAGCAAGTCACATGTGCTCTTGCTGTTTCACTCCATGGCTCGGCCATGGCTCTGCCAGGATTGGAAATCAGGGCACTCCCAGCAGCTCACGTGGCCAGGAGATGCTGGTGGATGTCGGCACCATCCCTGGGCCCTCCCTGCTGATGCTGGTGGAAGGTGGCATCGTCCCTGGGCCCTTCCCTTGGCTTCTGGGGTAGGGACATCCCTGCCTCTGCCCTAGGAGCAGGGCACACCTGACATCACGCTAGGTGAGGACAGGGCACAGAACCAGTCAGGGCAACTTTCCTACAGACAATCAAGATGGTGGCAGGTGCAGAGGCAGGCTCCCCACTGCAGAGGGAGGTGTCTGATCAGGGCTGTCCTGGTCCCCACCCCTAAGACAGAACCCTGGGAAGGAGGCGTGGCCTCTGGCCAGGGTGACAGGGGCAAAAATCCGAGGCTCTCCCGTTTGCCTGAGGTCCCCAGGGAGGGAAGGAGAGGAAGGAGATGTCTGCAGAGTCCTATTCGCTTTCCAGGAACCAGACACGGTGACAGTCATTGTAGCAAAAAATGGCCAGGGCCGTCTGGGCTCCCAACGGTGCTCCCTGGTCAGAGGCAGGAGGTCCCCTGAGCCTCTCAATTTTTATTATGTGACTCAACTTGGGTCCACACAGGAGTGGAACCCCAGGTTCCTGAAGGGATGAACCCCTCACCTGGCCCACAGCTACCTGAGCAGGGAGGGGAGGTGGCCCCATCTTTTTCTCTTCAGCTCATCAGGCGTGTGCCAATTTAGGAGGATGTAGGGAGGATGACTTCCCAGTGGGCCGGATTCACCAGGCGAGCAGGTTTAGATGCTTCCAGAGCCCACCCCAAATTCCAGTTCAGGGGCCTGGAGAGGGCAGAGCATTAGCATCACTAAGGAACCTCTCAAGTGTGGCCATGAGGGTGGCCCGAGGACACGCTTTGAGAACGGCTGACCAGAGCCCCTCTCCTGCAGGACAGGACAGGACAGGCAGTCCGGGGGAGCACCGCAGGCGGCCCTGGGGAGCCCCGCAGCTCACTGGCGCGGTGGGCACCCACCAAAGCCTGGGGACTCTTCAGAAAGACTTGTGGAAGCCGCCCGGGAAGGGAGTCCGGCGCAGTCACACTCACCGCGGCTGTGGAAGGCCTCGTGCGGGATCTGGATGAAGCTCTGCCCGTGGGCCGGGAAGCGGTAATGCGAGGAATTCACGGTCTTGGGCAGGACTTTGGCCACGGAAAACTCTGCGGTGGAAGCAGCGAGAGAGCGGAAGTCCCGTCAGAGAGCTCACAGGCTGCAGGAAATCGGACTGCAAAACCCCATCTGCAAAACCCCATCTGCTTTTCTTTTTTGACAGGACAAGCTCCCCACCGAAAGTATAATTACCTTTAGAAAGCATGACCTCAAAAAAAAAAAAAAAAAAAAAAAGGAAAAAGAAATGAAGAGCCCAGGCAGTGATTGCCACGGAGAGGCTCAGTGTTCCGGCCCAGGCACGGCTCCTCACCTGGGGCGCCCTCCGCCCCGGCACAGCCCCCGGCTCTCAAGGCCGGTGCAAGGATGGGCTGTGCTCAGCGATGCCGTGACATCGGCTCCTCCCCAAGTGCAGCAGGCGAGGGCAACATGGCCCAGAGAGAGAGGTCTGGGCTGACAAACTGCCGCTAAATTAACCCAGGCAGCTTCAGCGCATGTTCCCCAGCTTGGCTCTTGCAGGGAAGTATCAGCACGATAATACACTGCAGGTGAAGACTTTTAAAATCGAAAGGTCATCACCTCTGCCTCTACAATTAGACAACTGTGACAATTATCCCGCAGCGCCGTTGAGAGCAAGCCAAGTCCAGAAACCTGAGGCCGCCCCTTTCATACCATAGACTCTTGCTGGCACTGCTGCTTCTGCCTCCCGCTCTGAACTGAGACCATCACCCCAGGGCAGGAGCTTGGCTCCCAAGTCACTGGGAAAGGCTTATGAGCCCTGTCTGCACATGGCCGATCACTCCTGCCCTGATCTGACCACGGGTTTTCCTTCCAAATGTGGTTTGCGGGAGACAGAGCAGTCAGGGAGACAGAGCATGGCTCTCTGCTAAGGGTGTAAAAAGGCAGTTTTCCGCAGCCTCCAGCCCCCGCCCCTGCCATGTGGCTCACCCTTACAAGCGACAGCTACCTGCCACGGCAGAGGAGCCCTCCATGGTGACCTGGGGCGTGCTGGCATGCAGGTTGTAGGAAATGTGGCCCGTGACGGTGTCAATAGTGTGGATGAGACTCAGTACCACGGCGCTGTCCTGCAGCAACACAAGAACCAGGAGCCATGAAAATCCACCCCACTCAGCCGGGGGACCAGGCAGGTGCACCAAGCACACAAAATCAAGCTTCCCCACGTCGGCCACGAGGGAGGAAGAAGTCACACAACTGCCCCTTCCCATGGATCAGGAGGGGACCACATGGAAGCCACACGCCCAACTGAGCTCACGGAGCACGGACACAGCCCGGGTGGACCCATCACCCCAGCCATTGCTGGCTCCTGCGTTTCTACACTTAGACACGGGGACTGAAGGGACCCGACTCCTGGTCCTGCCACCTCCCTGAACTCACAGAGGAACCCTCAGCACATCCCAGATCCTCCCCCTGCCTCCCTGTGCTTCACAAGGAGGGGCTGATCACCCCCCAGGTCCACTCTGGCATGGGGACACCAGCAGCTCTGTCCCCTTCTCCGTGAAGGGTGGCTGCTTCTGAGGTGCCAGCACCCCAAGCTGCTTCCCGCTGCCTCCACTTCCCAGGGGCTTGCTTTCTACTCCAAGAGCCCTCTTTTCTTTCTGAGTTGCAGAGCAGAGGATCCTGGTAGACACTGCCCCCAAGAAAGCAGGGGGTCCCCCCGGGCACCTGAATCTGTGGACAGTGCAGGGCCCGGTGCTCAAAGCTCAGTGCACGCGTCCGCTCTCGGGCTGACTGCCCGCATCCTCAGACACGCGTCACCAAGGGAGAGGCCTCTCTTAAGCCCCGCTGAGCTGGGCCACTGAGCTCTGCCTTCACTGCTTCTCTTCTTCCCGCCTTTCTGGGGAAGAACCTGCATGCTGCTAAGTCCTCAGCATTCTCCCACAAACATGCACTCCAGGAGAGCCCCATGAGTTGGAAATAGAATGCTGAGGCCAATTTTAGCCATTTGCTTTTAGGCCCATGGTCTGATTTCAGTCACCAGGCCCAGTTAAGCACATGGAAGTCTGTGTTTCTGGCATGCAGTTTCTGGCATGCATGTGGGGTAGAGACCGATTCACGTGTTCTCTGTAATGCATACTGGACCCTGCCTGAGTCTGGACAGTTTCCTGGGTATTCACATCTTATAACAGATTTGCATATTTTGCATTCAAAAGCAGTTAATTCAAAATCGTGCACAAAATACGTCTGTCTGGATCTTCTGTTGGCTGTCCTCTGGGTGTTCCCAGCCTGCAGCTTTGGACACAAAGTCCCCTTGAAATCATGAAAACAGTAGTACCTTTTAAAAAGGAATTGGTTTCTGGGTAAGACTGTATCCATCTTACATTCTTGAGCCTTTTTTTCTCCCTTTGCCAATATTAAACCTAATCTCATTCCACTTGAAGTTATTCAAACAAAAGTTTATCAAATGTAAACTCTAACGCAATCTTATTAATAATGACAGAATAAAATGCCACTTCTGCCTCTCAAACTGGCAAACATTTTTAAATAATATCGGGGTTTAGGAGAATGAGCACTTTAATATCATGGTGGTGTGGCTGGGACCCTTCTGGGCCAAGACAGTTAAGAGTCCTCCTCAGCGTTCTCTGGCCCTGCCTGGCAACCTTGGAAACCACATGTTGAGAAGCCAGCACCAGAAGACAGATGGAGCCAGGATCCCTGAGTATCTGGGTGGAGAAGAGGCTCCTCTGACCCACTCTGGACTTTGCATGGGGGAGAAGTAAATTTCTACTGTGCTGAGTCACTGAGATGTGGGGATCTATTTGTTACTGCAGCACACCCCGGCCTGTCCTGACTAATACAAAGTTGCAGGTGAATACTTAATATCATTGGAAAGTGTTATTGACATAATTAAGGAAAAACAAATTAAATCAAACATACAATATATTTGTTGAATACATATATCTATAAGTGAATTGAAAACTAGACTATAAGGAAATATACAAGAGTGTTAATAATCTCACAGTTTTAGGATTTGAAGTGATTTTTATGTTTTTTATTATCTGCATTTTCTAACTTCTCCACAACTATTTACTTGTTTTCTTTTTAAATAAGTACAATCAATAGTTATTTTAAGAAATAAAGGAAAAATTATTTCATTCTCCTTTCTAGCTATTTTGAGTACCGAGAACAAGAGAAGCATTTTTGGCACCTTAATCATGAAGTACATATTGTCACGTGTTCTCCTTTTTCTTACTAAATACAGTGGCTTTTAACATGAAAAGCTATTATCATTCAAGAATGATGTGATGGTACAAAAAAAAAGTACATATTATATAAAATGACCAAGATGAACCAAATACACATTTCTCATGGGGGAAAAAAACATCATTTCCTTCTTCCATCCTTCTTCCATGTTTAGGACACTACCACATTACTGACACATATGCATTTCTTTTGCCTTAGAGGACAAAGCATTCTGAATCAGTTGCACATCTACTCAAAATGAGCTCTTTTATCCCAGATGTCAGGACTGGGAGACACATTATTCTTTTTATGGATGTGAACTGGGCCATATTATGCCACTTCTAGGATGACAAAATGGTTCCCAAGGCACATACGTTTTGAAGATCAAAATGTTCTTTTCTCTCTCTCTCTCTTTTTTTTTTTTTTTTTGAGACAGTCTCACTCTGTTGCCCAGGCTGGAGTGCAGGGGCACAATCTCGGCTCACTGCAACCTCCGCCTCCCAGGTTCAAGCAATTCTCCGGCCTCAGCCTCCCGAGTAGTTGGGACTACAGGTGCCCACCACCATGCCCGGCTAATTTTTGTACTTTTAGTAGACAGGGTTTTGCCATGTTGGCCAGGCTGGTCTTGAACTCCTGACCTCAAGTGATCCACCCGCCTTGGCCTCCCAAAGTGCTGGGATTACAGGCGTGAGCCACCACAACCGGCCATGTTCTTTTCTCTTACCTCTGACACAGCAATCCAACCAGGCAATAGAAGGACCTCTCCCACGGCTTTTAAGAAGGTCTAAGGGTGGACAAAATGACACTGCTCAGCACCAGTCCTTAAGCGACAAACTTGAAGACCCTCAGTTTTCCCCACACCTTCCAATGCGTCGCTATCAACCACCAGTTCAGTTTTACGCACAGCAGTCAACAAAAATAGCTGAGTCATGGACCATGTGACATGTTACAAAGCCCTTTTATGGACGTTCTCTTATGTGCTCCTGTGGCAGCCCTGTCAAGTCAGTGACCAGCACTGGAACATCAAAATGAACACTGCTCAGCGGCGGGAGGGGCCCCAGCACAGCGCCTGGGGGACATGGCAGGCCCTCGGCGAAAGCCTGTGGAGTGGAGAGACGCATGGGAAAACCATGGCCTACTGGACGTGCCTTTCTTGGGGTGAGTAAGCAAACTGATGTGGAAGCACTTGTGTTAACTGAAAATGACCTACTTGGTCCAGAAAACAGAAGCTACTTGGGCCTTTGGTCAGGTCACCTTAAAACCATGTTTGGTTCAGCTCACTATTATTCTAAGGAAACAATGAAATTAATTTCTACTGCTTCCTAATCAGGCAATTTAAATGAGAACACATGGATTTTCTACTTCTTTTGAAAAAAGCAGAAGCTTGGACACCCCCCAGCCCACATTCCCATAAAACCATAATTGACCACAGCCGAGTGGCACCACCTTAGTAGATGTGTCCCCAGCCCACTCCAGACCCCGCCATCCCCACTGCCTCACACCCTCACATCCGTTCCACTCATCTGCATTATTCACACACGCTCTTCACTGTGTGTCTCCAACTATCAGCGCCAAAATTAAACTTAGAGGCTGACCAAAATCTCCCATATTTCGCTAACCGCCATCTCCAGAATACTCACCTTCTTCCACACTCTGAGACGCTAAATACTTAGAGAACACATCATCAAAACTCATCGTTCATTCATTTATCTTTCTGAGATAAATATTTTTTGAGACCTTAGAGTGCAAGGCCTGAAGTATTAATGAAGTAGGGGATAACCACCATCCTGTCTTCACTGAGCTGGAGCAGGGGCAGCAAACTTCTTAAAGGGTCACACAGGAACGAGGTCAGGCCTCAAGGGCCATGCCCTGTGTCACAAACACTCAACTCTGCCATGGCAGTGCAAAAGCAGCCGCAGACAATACGCAAACAAATGGGCATGCATGAATAAAACTTTATTTACAAAAGCAAGCAATGGACCAGATTTGGCTCAAGGGCCATAGTCTGCTGACTCTTGATCCAGAGCAGTCTGTCACATAGAAACATAATATGGGCCACATTTACCATTTTAAATTTTCTAGCAGCCAGCACCTTTTAAGAAGTAGGAAAAAAAAGGTAAAATTAATTTTAATAATGTATTTTACTTAGCTCAAAAACCTAAAATATTATCATTTCAATACAGAATCCATAGGAAATCACTAATTAGATATTTCCCTTTTCTTTGCACAAAGTTTTAGAAATCCAGTGTGCATCTTACAGTCACAGCACGTCTCTAGTTGGACGAGCCACATGTAGCTAATCAGCACCTCATGGTACAATACAGGAAATGATTCCTTGCCATTTTCCTGTCCAGCTGCTAGTGGACAGGTGAGAAGCCAGGACACCATAGAAACTTGTAGAATGGGGCCAGGTACAGTGGCTCACACCTGTAATCCCAGCACTTTGGGAGGCCGAGACAGGTGGATCATTTGAGGTCAGGAGTTCAAGACCAGCCTGGGAAACATAGTGAGACCCCACCTCAACTAAAAATACAAAAATTGGTCAGGTATAGTGGGGCACGCCTGTAGTCCTAGCTACTTGAGAGGCTGAGGCAGGAGAATCGATTGAACTCAGAAGGCGGAGGTTGCAGTGAACCAAGATCATGCCACTACACTCCAATCTGGGTGACAGGGCGAGACTCTGTCTCAAAAAAAAAAAAAAAAAAAAAAAAGAAAGAAAGAAAGAAAGCAACTTGTATCACACTCAGTTCAGTGACCTGCTGGGTGGTGTGGGCCACAATGACACAGTTAACTGCTGCCACTACAGTGTCAGGTGTGAGATAGACCCTTCTAGCCAGTGATGAAGAGATCACAGGGCCAGGCAGGCGGTGGGCCACAGTGGCTCCAGGCCTGCCCTAGGGCAGGACACACACTTCTACAAGATGCTGAGGGGTGACCTTTAGGACCAGCACCCCACAGGCAGCTTTCCAGAGAACTGGACACGCCCTAGGCCACAAGCCCCACGAGGGCAGGGGCAATACCCGGCATATCCATCACACATCCCCAGCACCAAGCCCAGCAGCTGGCAGAGAGCGGAGGCTGCACGATGTGCTCAATTAATAAAGTCATCAGTGAACCCACTCATGAGAATGCAACTGTGGCTCATTAAGCCATCCATTTTATAATTAATGAAGCAACCCACACACAAGTGGGTGTTTAATCAACATTCGTCTAATTAATTAATCCTCGCTTGGACTCCCTCCTTCCCGAGACACCCGGAAACACAGAGGGAGCCTGCTAAGTGTCTGCTGCACGTTCCTGAGGATGCTTCAGGGTACCCATGGCTAGTCAGAGGGGTGGGCGCCCATGCCCAGAGTGGGTGTTTATTGAGCGCTGACTGTGTACCACGGCAAGAGGGGAGGGGGCGCCGGTGCCCAGAGTGGGCATTAAGCCCCGACTGCATACCTTAGCTAGAGGCAGAGCACTAGTGCCCGAAGTGTGAGCGTTTATTAAGTGCTAACCGCATAGAAGGCACCGCTTGTCACAGTGACCCCTGGTAGCCCATCTCAATAAAAACAAGAGTGTTAGTATTTATAAAGCACTTACTGCATACCAAGCTCTGTCTCGGTGTCTCACACCCGCTCCTGTGCGTACATGCATAAGGACCTTCCAGCTTGTCTACACCCACTCTTTCCACCCAACACCCCGAGGACCCTTCCCTTCAGAGCCCGGAAGTGCACCCACACTGGACAGCCTTTGGCCACACCCTAGAGCTCCTTCATGATTGGCTGAGCCAGTGGCCAATCACACTCCCCTTGGTTAGTGATTGGTCCAGGTATGGTCATGTGGCCCAGCTCTGGCCAGTGAGATTTGAAGGGGGGGTCTCAGCAAAGGGAACCATGGGAAACATTTCCCTCTGTCTGGTAGGGAGTCCTCTGACTCATTCTTTCCCTTCTGGATGTTCTAGGGTAAGGCGAGGGTGCTGGGGACCTGCAGCTGGGCGAGAAAGGGGCCGAGTGGGGAGAGAATTGTAGCGGTGCCTATCCAGCCCCTGCAGTGAGTGAAGACTGAGTGAGTGAATCCTAGGATTCCCACCTCTGGGCTTCCTGTTGCCTGAAGCAAGTACACGGCCTGAAGTCCAAGTCCGCTAAGCAAAGGGCTCTGTAGCTCCCAGCCAGAAGCACCTGAGAGATGTGGGTGATCTCATTGTCCCCATGTCACAGTGGGCAAGCAGGTGTGCTGAGGTTAAATAACCTGCCCACGGACACACAGCCGGGAGTGGTGGAGCTGGGGTCAAAGTCAGGTCTCTGACTCCAGAACTGCTGAGTCCTGCAGCTCCATGTGGTTCCCTTTCAAGGCCCTCTCAGACTCCGTGACCTGCCATCACTCCCTCAACCCTGAGCCTCTTGAAAGCAGGGAGTAGTCGCACTTGGTCATCCTGAATCCCCAGAATCTAGCATGTTCTATGAATGAATGAATGAATGGATGATGAATGAATGAATGAATGATGAATGAATGAAATCTAAGAAGTCTAACTTCTCTTATGTGGACAGAAAAGCTGACGGCAACCTCCCGCCATTCCAAGATGTCTCAAGTCCCTGAACACATTTCTCTGCATGTGCTTCTTTGGGTATGACTTCAGCAAGGAAATCAATAAGAACTGAGAACACTTGAAAAGTGTACCCAGCACTGTTCTGTGCACATAGGAACCCACTTATCCCTGATGAAGTGGGCGCTGTCATTATTTCCTCCACATCTCAGAGGAGCCAAGTGAAGCAGAGATGTTATGTCACTTGACCAAGGCCACAGAGTAACTGCAGATCAAAGGTCAATGCGGTGGTGGGGCTCCATATACCCTGCTCCTAACCCATATGCTATGCTTTCAAGGTGAGCCAGTCTCAAAACCCCTTCTGTCTTTGCATTCACCAAGATAAGCCCTAGCCCTGAAACAGAAGACAGCAAGGCCACGAGAGCCCACGATCCACCCTCTGCCTTCACCTGGAAACTATTTGGAGGAGTAAAAAGAGAAAGCATATCGATTTTAATGCCATAAATGTTGCATTCTCTAAGTGTTTAGATAGCTTTGGGGATTCCCACTGTGCACAGGCTGTGGTCCACGCCCCATGGCTGGATCTGCCAGTGAGGCCCCTCCATCTTTTACCTGTTGCCAGGAGGTAGCAGAGTTTATTTAGACTAGGAGTCGCCAACCCACACACCCACAGGGGCCAGGTGGCTGCACAGGGGGGGACCAGGCAGGTTGGGCATTGGGAAACCACAGCAAAGACTCAAGTGCCCCTAAGGGAGGCTCCACTGAGCTGTCCAGAGCTGGCCAGAAGGGCCACACCAGCTGGTCATTCATGAGAAGCCTGAAACCCAAACTTTTAAGTAAAAGTTCCTGCTTTTTTTTTTTTTTTTTTTTATTTTGAGATGGAGTCTTGCTGTGTTACCCAGGCTGGAGTGCAGTGGTACAATCTCGGCTCACTGCAGCCTCTGCCTATCTCGGCTCACTGCAGCCTCTGCCTCCTGGGTTCAAGCGATTCTCTTGCCTCAGCCTGCCAAGTAGCTGAGACTATAGGCATGCATCACCATGCCTGGCTAAATTTTTGTATTTTTAGTAGAGACAGGGTTTCACCATGTTGGCCAGGCTGGTCTTGAGCTCCGGATCTCAAGTGATCCTCCTGTCTCAGTCTCCCAAATTGCTGGGCTTACAGGCATGAGCAACTGTGCCTGGCTCCTCTTTTTTTATTTATAGAGATGGGGTTTCACTATGTTGCCCAGGCTGGACTCAAGCAATTCTCCTGCCTCAGCCTTCTGAGCAGCTGGGACTACAGGCGCAGTCACCACATCCAGCTGGTCAAATGTTTTTATACCATGATAGTAATACAGCTTCTACTATGTACCTCACACTTTTGTGAATATTTTGCTTGTATTAACATTTCATCCTCACAACAACCTTATGAAATAAGTCCCCATTTGATGGATGAAACTAAGCACAGAGAGACTTACACAAAAATAAATGGTACAGCTTGGATTTGAACCCAAGCAGATAGGTCAGAGTCATGCACTCACTATTATATTAACATTCTCAAGAAAGGACAGTTCTTTGATTACAAACACTAATTCCAGACAAGAATTTTTCTCTATGAATTAAGCTTTTCCTCTCACATCAAACGAAAAGGGCACAAAGAGAAGCCAAGCGGGGCAGGTTCCTCACTCCCCACTCATGGAGCCCATGGCCCACAGCGCCCACGGCATTTCCTTTTGGGCACCTGAGGCTCCTGGTGGCAGGAACTGAGAGTTTTCCCCTCAGTCACTCTTAGCACCAAGAATTAGTACTGCAGTTGGCTTCGCCTCCATTTGTTATTTCTTCCCAGACAATGTACTGCCGATCACAAAGAGCCCAGACACCTGATGGAATTTTCTCTCTCCCAGCAAACAGCCCAAGCAGAAGGATGTCAGCCGGGGGTGGGGGGGGGGGCGGGTGCCAAGGAAGACGCATCTGCTCACCATGGGGCTTGCTGTGGGTGTCACGGAGAGGCTTGGCAGCGTTGAAGACAATAAAGCATGCTTTCCTGGAAAAAATAATGCTGGATTAAGGACTAAAACATGGTCACTTTTTTTACCACAAGGAAGACCTGTCCTCATTAAAAATGCACCGGCTTCAGACACGTGGAAGAGAGGCTGAGAACGTTTTGAGTCGGAATGTTGCTGGAGATAAATTATGGACTAAGAAATCAGCTGAATGGGTCAGCCGTATGGATTTTCCCAGGTCACATTACTTTTCTATTTGTATTCTCAATCGCTTTTGAACACCCTTCGTGCAAGTCAGCATATCAAAAGATGATTTTGTACAAGGATTACCGATTTCAAATAAATAAAGAACCAAAATAAATAGATTTCAATTGCATCCAGACTGGTTGGAAATAAAATGAGGAGGGCTGCAACTCGCTGGGCCAGCACAGACAGGAGCCCTGAGAGCGCCTCCTCCGAGATCGATGAGGTGAGAATAGGCCCCAGTAAAGCAGTGGGGAAAACTGTCTTCCTGGGCCCCTTCCAGCCCAAGGATTCCAGCTATCCTTTGCACTCAGCCCGCATGGGGTTAATGATGAATAATTACAAACAATAAAGACATTTAAGATTGAAGACTAAGCCAAGATTTGCTGTTCTCTGCCTGTTCACCCCCAACTATTTCTAATCCTGCTATTTCCTGATGAGAACACAGACTTAACCAGATATTCTACTTCATTTTCGGAAAATCTCTTGAAGTTGCTTTGGATGAGCTGAGGAAATGACATCATCACCCCTGGCTGGCTGCAGGAGTGACTGAGCCCTTGGGTTTGGGTGGGGTTGGGCCGCTGGTGAACGCAGAAGGTGTGACGCTGCCGAGAGAACTGGACCCCAGCATCACTCTGTTCTCCAAGTTAGAGTGACATTCACTCCTCAGGTGCCAATGAGTTACAGAGGAGTCACGTCAAACTCACATTTAACTAGTGTGTGCCCACAAAGCAGAGTGAGGGATGGTGAAAATCGGTCCAGCAATCCTGCCCACCCTTGCAAGCAATGACCACGGAGACTGGAATGAAAATGAGAATCTGCCAGGTCCTCAGTCAGTCCCAGTTCCCACGTGCTGAGTGTGCTTCCAGGGCCCAAAGACACACGCTTTCAGATTGCACGGCTCTGAACACAACCTCCTTCCTCCTCTACAGAAAGAGCTGCTGTCCATTCCAGTGGTGGGGGAGAGGGGACACCTGGCCAGGGTGACAGACGGTCAGCACTGTGCCTTTGTATCAGGAAAGGCCACCACACCTGGACAGACCGGTCAACAAATGGTGCCAGCTCTGGCTCATGAGATTAGAGGAGGGTGTCCCCTCTGGCCAGATCACTCAGAAAAAGACCCCCTCTGGGCACCTACAGCCCCAGCACGGCTTCAAATGCAGACAGATCTTCATGTGAAGAAAGACTTCTACCTACTTGTGTGGCCATGTCCCCACTGAGGCCCGGCCTGGCTGGGAGCAGGCTAGATTTCAGTTCCCGTTGTCACTCTGCATGGCTGCCCTGAACTCGGCTGTGTTGGACTCACCGAGCAGTGGTACACTGGGCCCCACACAGGCTTTCCAGGGACTTTAAGAGCCATTTTCCTATACATGCTTTACATCATATGCCTTGTCTTCAGGACCAGGTCACCAGGTGAGGTGGGATTCTGGTAGATCCAGGTCTGGTTCAGTTCCGGTTCTGGCGAAGAGAGTTTGCTCTGACAAGAACAAGAACCAGAAACAAGGGCCCCTCTTTCCAGTGTTACTAAAACAAGTAAACTGTCAGGAGGGCAGGATTTGTCTGAGGCTTTTCATAACATAAATACAAGTGATAACTTGGTTTCAAAGTGACAACTCTAAACCCTAGGCAATAAAATGCAGTAGATTGATCCCTTTTTTTTCTTCTGAAGGACACTATAATTTGCCCTCTGTCAGTGCTGGGAGAGGGAATGCATTCTGTTTTCCTGGGTGGAAGCTGGAAGATGTAAATGTCTAAAGCTGTAGTGGACACAGGCTGTTTTGCCCACACAGCATCTGTTCCTTCTGAGACCAGCGTCCCTGATTGTCCCCTGGGAGTCCCCTCTCCTCCACATGTTCTGGATAAGGCTGACCTCACTGTCATTTCAAGGGGGCTGAGGGTGGGGGACTACCACCCAGACCGAAGCCAGTCAGCATATTCTGCACACCCAGACGCAGAAAATGACTCATGGAAGGTGCATGGATCAATGTGAGCCAAAGTGAGTCCTGCCCAGCCCCAGCATGGGAGGTGATAAGAGAAAAAAGCTCCCTTTTTTCCACAGAGGCTGCTGAGGGCTGAGGATGCAACCCTAGAAGCATGACAGCCACCTTGGCACCAGGAGGAGGCTAACACAAAAGAGGGCAAGGTCAAACGCAGAGATTGCCACTGACATCATGTGAGCACCTGGACCAAACCAGTTCTGAACCAGAGTTTCCCCTGGAGCTCCCATTGCAAGAAATGAAAAAGAAACACATGCCTTTCTTGGCTAAAGTTATTTTGAATCGAGTTTTCTCTCATACAATCAACAGAGTCCTAACAACTGAGGGACTCAATGTCAGAAGCGGAACGAGAGCAGGCAGCGTCTGGAACTCAGGCCTTTCTCTTCCGGTCCTGACACCCGCTGTGCTGGGTGCCTGAATGCCTACATGGGGGCTGTCATTTTTTAGCAGATTATTTTATGTGGAAATAAAGAAACCCAGTGGGGAAAAAATGGTGCATTCACTTGTGGACAAAATGAAAATGGAATTGTAGGGGGAAGGTGAATATTGATTTTAAAAACAGCTAGGAGCCCTTGGATTCTTGCCATATGCCAGGCATTGTGCTAATGACCTTACAGACCTTTTCTCATTTTATTATCCTAACACCACCCCCAGAGAGGGAGCAGTCGTATTTTTATCCATTTAACAGAGCAAAAAAAAGCTGAGAGATTAAGACCAAAAGGTTATACATTACACATTTCCATGTATGTGGAATCTCCGGAATAGGTAAAGACAGAAAGTAGATTAGTGGTTGCCAGAGTCTGGGGGAGGGGAAGACGGGGAGTGACTGTGCTCCCTGGGTACGGGGTTTCCTGTTGGGAGGATGAAAATGTTTCCAAACCAGGTAGAGGTGGCAGCTGCACAGCGCTGTGAATGTACCAAGTGCTACTGAATTGTTCATGTTTAAATGGTTATGTTTATGTTATATGGATTTGACCTCAATTTTTAAAAATGACTTCCCAAAATCTCATGGCTCATTATGGCACAATGAATATTTGAACTCCAGTCCACCTACCCACAGGTCCCTGCCCTGAACAATTGCCCTGTGTTGAGTAGGAAGAGGTATCTTGGGGGTTTTCCAAGGACCCATCAGAGTATAGCCCCTGGGAGGCACACAGCTAACATTTGTTGATCAAAATCACTAATGGACCTGGAATATTTGCTATCCAAAGCCTTCTATAATCCTCCGCCACATATACCTTGAAACCCCGTGATGATCAACAAAACAATATTCATCTCAGAGCATCTCCAGTAAATTATTAACTCGTCTGTCTCAGGGAACAGGTGTTCTAACACACAACTGTGTTTACAAGGTTCATTAGGACACATCTCATGTCTACAGTGCTGATAGCTGTAACAGGAGAGTGGGGAGAAAGGAGGCAGATACCCTGGGAACAGACAGCAGATCTGCCCCAGCCCTTCACACTCACTGACCAATGGCAGCAGTGAAGTACATGGCGATCTCATCCGGAGTCAGGGCCCGCTCCCAGATGATGAACTCATCAAAAGCGCCGTTCTCATAACACTTGGCCTGATCCTGCTCAGACCCTATCACGAGGTTGACATTGGACTCTCCATAGTCACGAGACACTTTTCCACTCGGGTCAGAGGTGTTCAGGGTCCCGTTGACGTAGACTTTCAGGCCTTCCTTGGATTTCCATGTAAATAGGACATGAGTCCAATAGGGGCCTGGAAAAGAGTGAAGACCGCCCTGCTGAGTGCTGTGGGAATGAGCTCCCCGTGCACGGGATTCTCACAAGGTATCACACAGACCTGACTTTCCCCAGTCCTTTGGAGCACAGGAAAGACAGTATCTTTTTATCCCTATGCCCTAAATTCCAAAAGCAGTTCAAGGAGACTCCTTGTTATTTTAACATAGTAGTTACAAATTTAAATGCCCACAAGCAAGTGTGATTAAAATATTTGAAAAATGCCAGGACACAAGAGCCAACCAATCAGACCATAAGCTCAGTTAAGAAAAAAATGGTCGGGAGCAAGGCAAGGATGTCCCCTCTTACCACTCCTTTTTAACATTGTACTGAAAGGCCTAACTAATGCAATAAGGCAAAAAAAGGAAATAAGAATATACATATTGGGAAGGATGCAATAAAAATATATTTATTCACAGATGATATGATTGTCTATGTAGAAAATCCAAAAGAATCAACAAAAAAGCTGAAACTAATGAGTGAGCATAGCAAGATTACAGGCTACAAAGTTAATATACAAGTCAATTGCTCTCCATCTGCCAGCAACAAATAAGTCGAATTTACAATTAAAAAACACATTACCATTGTCATTGGTGCCAAAAAAGGAAAAAGAAATACATATATTTTAACAATACATTTATAAGCAATATATGAAGAAAACTATATAACTCTGATGAAAGAAATTAAACAAGAACTACATAAACAGAGAGATATTCCATATTCATGGATAGAAAGACTCAATGTTGTGAAGATGTCAGTTCTTCCCAAATTGATCTATATCTTCAACACAATCCCAATCAAAATCTCATCAGGTTATTTTGTGGATATTGATAAACTACGGAGAGGAAGAGAGCCAGAATAGCCGATACAATATTGAAGGAGAGAAACAACATTGGAGGAACAACACTACCCAATTTCAAGATTTACTGTAAAAAGTTACAGTAGTCAAGACAGTGTGGCATTGGAAAAAAACAGAAGAATAGATCTGTGGGACAGAATAGACAGCCCAGAGATAGACCAATAAAAATACAGTCGACCAATTTTTGACAAAGGAGAAAAGGCAGTACAATGGAACAGACAGAGTCTTTTCAACAAATTGTGCTGCAACAACTGAATATCCACATTCAAAAAAAAAGAGAGAATCTTGGCCGGGCGCGGTGGCTGACGCCTGTAACCCCAGCAGCACTTTGGGAGGCCGAGGCAGGTGGATCACCTGAAGTCAGAAGTTCGAGACCAGCCTAGCCAACATGGCAAAACCCTGTCTCTGCTAAAAATACAAAAAATTAGCTGGGCATGGTGGCAGGCATCTGTAATCCCAGCTACTCAGGAGGCTGAGGCAGGAAGAATTGCTTGAACCTGGGAGGCAGCGGTTGCAGTGAGCCGAGATCACCCCATTGCACTCCAGCCTGGACAACAAGAGCCAAACACCATCTCAAAAAAAAAAAAAAATCTTAAACCTGTCATAAAAATTAGTTCAAAATGGGCTATAGGTCTAAAATAAAATGCAAAACCATAAAACCCCTAGAAGATAACATAGGAAAAACATCTAGATGACCTTGGGTTTAGTGATGGTTTATTAGATCCAACACCAAAGGCACAATTCATGAAAGAAATAATTGACAAGCTGGACTTCCTTACAACTAGAAATGTCTGCTCTGTGAAAGACACTGTCAAAGACAAGCCACAGATGGGGAGAAAATATTTGCAAAAGACATGATAAAGGACTATTACCCAAAATATACCCAAAAACTCTTAAAATTCAACAGTAAGAAAACAAACAATCCACAATTCGGGAGGCTGAGATGGGAAGGTCGCTTGAAGCCAGGAGTTTGAGACCAGCCTGGGCAACCAAGTAAGACCTCAACTGTACAAAAAATAAAAAAATAAAAAAAATAGCGAGACATGGTGGCACATGCTCGTAATCCCAGCTACTTGGGCAAC